AGGGCCGCTCTTTGTCCATGGCCCAAGTCCACTGGGGTTGCCGGGGTTGCCCAAGGACTGTTCAGGGGGGTGGGGGGCAGGGGGTCCCAGTTAAACCCCTTTCCTTCTCTCCCTCCCCCTCCTTCCGCAGCTGGAACTGGCCACCGCCAAGAGCGACATGAACCGCCACCTCCACGAGTACATGGAAATGTGCAGCATGAAACGGGGCCTGGACGTTCAGATGGAGACCTGCCGGCGGTTGATCAAAGGCTCTGCGGAAAGGTGAGGAGGAGGGGGGAGGAGCAGGGGGGGGCACCGCCCTGCTTTCACCAAGCACACACACACACACACACACACAGACACACAGACAGACAGACAGACAGACAGACAGACAGTGGGTGTGGGAGGCAGCAGGAAGAGGCTGCTCTCAGGTGTCCTTGCACACTTTCTTTTTTGGGGTGTGGGGGGTCCGCGAGTCAAGGTTCAGATCCGATCCCGCCTTTTTTTGTCTTCCCTCCAGAAATTCCCCCTCGCCCAGCTCCCTCGCCAGCAGCGACTCGGGCAACACGGACGAGATCCCGGACGACTTTGACAGAGAAGCAGACGTGGAGCCCATGGTCAGCTGATGAACACCCAGAGCATTGGGGCGCAGGGCTTGGGGGGAGGGGCTCGGTTTGGCGGGACGGGGGAGAACCAGAAAACTTTGGGAGAAAAACAAACGAACAAACAAAAAAAACCTGGACAAAAGTTGAAACCTTTTGCAGCACGGTGGGGGGAATCCAGGACCTTCCAAGCGTCCTCCGCCGGCATTCCCGGAGGGCCTCGGCCTCCCGCGTCATCTCAGGATTGGTGCTGTGAAAACTTTCGTACTCTTCCCTCGGACGACAAATGTGACGAAAAAAAACAAACAACAACCCCAAAACAAACGAACACAAACTGCAGTTCTACCTGTGCCTTCAACCCCAGGCTGTGGGGCCCAACGAAGCTCCACCTTCTTCGGACAGAAGGCAAGCTCTGCTGGGGGTGGGTGGGTGGGACACACACACACACACAACGCACACACACACACACACATCTAAGAGACGTCCCGGGGGGTAGGGCAAAGGGCCAAGAAGGACCACAGGGTGAGGAGGCCGCAGTTTTTAAAACTACTATGCAAAACAAAACAAAACAGGAAAAACCCGAAACGAACGAACAAACAAAAAAAAGCGCAAAGTGGCTTTGCTTGCCTTATTTCCGTTTGGGCCTCTGCTGCGCTTGGGTTCCTCTCTCCCGAGCCCATCAGCAGTTTGGCACCCCTGACCCGGCCCCGGGTGGGGGGGGGGGCTTGTTCGGTTCTGCTTTCCGAAAGCTCAGCATGGCTGGAGGGCTCTGTTGTTGTTGTTGTTGTCGTTGTTTTTTCCCCTTTCTGCTGCTTCTCCGAGTGCCGGTGGTTTTCTTCCCCGGGGTGGGGGACTTCACAAGATGAGGAGGGGAAGCCATGGGGAGTGTGTGTGTGTGTGTTGTGTGTGTGCGCGCAGGCTGGGCAGCCCCCAAATTGGGGGGTCTGGCACCTGCCTGGCCCCCCGAGATGCCCTCCGTGTCTGTTTTCCGTTCCATTGAAGCTGAGTATTCTCTGGGGAGGAAGCGGGTTTGTCGGTGCCGTTTAGGAGAAGTTGTTGCATCACACAAAGACACAACTGGGAAGGGAAGCAGCGCCGCTCCGCCTTTGCTCCCTCCCCTCCTTTCACTGCCCCACGCAGCACTGTGTGCGTAATGGGGCGGTTGGCTTTCGGTGTGAATGGTGGCAGGATATGAGGGTCAGTTGGGGGGGCTCCCCCCCCCCCCCCCATCCACACCCCAGGCCAGCTGGCAGCCCTGAACCCCCTTCCTGCTCCTGTTTTGGGCTGAAACCCTGCAAGAGGGAGGAGGGGTCTGGTTTCTGTCCTGTGCAAACAGCTGCAGACAGACAGACACACACA